AAAGGGTAATTGAGCAAACCAACATGATAAAGTGTAGCATCAATGGATGTAATTCAAATTCTCGTAAAAATGAAGAGGGATTGTCATTTTTCAGGTTAGTTGTAATTTTTTTCCATAATCGTATATTTTTTCGTGTGAATTGGGTTTCGTGTTCATGTTATAGGTTCTAAAGCGTGTTTTCCGCTATTATCTAGAATTTCCATTGAATATTATCATGTAAATTTAAACAAGTAAGCATTTTGATTGTTTACATTTTTACATACTGTTGCAGCACTGTCATGTTTTGAAATTATCGATATAAATTTTAACAATAATATTAATGATCAAATAACGTTTTAGATACGTAAACTGTATATTTAACCAAACGATCGATTGAGAGCCTTTTATTTAAGGAAATAACTTGAAAATAGTGTAAATCGTAAATTTTCTATAATAGTTTTTTTCATCAAAAGATTTGATGATGTTAAGATTATTTTCGATTGGTACTTAAGGATGCATAAATTTATTCAAAAATTGTGGATTGATAATATAGGCCAGGAAAACATAAAACCTACTGTAGTGAGAAGAATATGCTCCTTGCATTTTGAAAAAGAATGTATAAATAGAACGCTGGATGTAGTCCGGCTTAAGGGTATTGTGGTTGTCTAAAATATATTTTCTGACTAAATAATATTATTTCGTCACGAATAAATGATTTTAATCAGTATACATTATTGTTATTTTATTTATTTTTAATCCTTACTCTCTTGTTTACCTCCAGTATCCACCACCAACTACGCTACTGGTGGAAGTCATTACAACTTGCAGATTATAAACAGTAAACACTATAAAATTGATATTTTGTGGTGTTACACAAATGGGATATAATTAGAAATGAATATGGAAGTGGAAGTCTGAAGTGACGCAGTGTTTATTGATCGAAATGTTGCATGGAAATTGGTTGTCATATGGTATGAACATGAGATTCTGTAGATTGAGGAATACGTTAGGATAGTTAAATGATTAATGGATTGTGTGAACGGTGATATGGTTAGAAAAGGGCTGCTCAACTCGATTAGATTACTTAGATAAATAAATAAATAATCTTTATTATCAGAAAAAGAGAGATGGTGGCCAGTAACTATGTATGAAAGAACACATGCTCCACAAAGTTTAAATAAATCAAGATAAAGGTCAGTCTATTGCACGTTCATGGTAACTTGAACTGGTAACCGACCATTACGACTAAAGAAAGGTGTTGTCAATGTCAAATCTTTATGGCGGCTCGGAACTTAAGTGCGAGCGCTAGTCCGTGCAGATGTAGTTGAAAGAAAACTTGATGGTGTCTCAGATCACTGTATATAAAGCGAAGCGTGAAGGTACAGGACTAGCACTCGCAACTAACTTCCCAGCCGCTATAAAGTCTATATATATATATATATATATATATATATATATATATATGATATAATTCACGCAACCTGGACGCATACGGGGGGCTGGTTCGATGTGGTGCAGGACAAAACCACTTGGAAAAACTTAGGAGACACTTCTGCTTAGTAGTGGGACACCGTGGGCTGGACAAAAAAATCATACGAAGCCTAATACATTGCCTATAGTGGTGGTTTCGTTAACCTCTGCAGAGAAGAAAAAAAATGCATGCGTCAACCCAGGGACGCACGGATGGAGTGCCTATATTCAGATTGCCGTCGTTACGAAAAAACGTTACCTCGTTACACGAACTCAGTGTAATATTCTTGTGGTCGTATACGTGTTCTGAAAAGAAAGGAGTTAAAGCTCCAATCAAGTGCCCTTTCCTTGATCTCTTCGCTCACTTTTGACTGTTGCTTCACCATATCTTATAGCAATTACAGTTTTAAAACCTTCCTATTCTGAGTTGAACGTAAGATTTATTTATTTATTATCTCAATACAACTATTATTACAGGATTAACCCAATGCAATAGTGTAGTGATCTAATATTTGTTTATTTAATATATACCTATGAGATGGACAATACGTCATAATTTATACAGCATTGATACTGAAAATATCGACAAAAGATATTTCTTGTGGGTGGAGTCGTCGCCATAGTTGAGAAACACTTGGCTTCAGATCACGTGACCACATCTGATATCCTCTATTTTTCTTATATCTATGGTACATACGGCCGCTCGCCCAGCAGACAGCTGATAGTGTTGACCACGGAGCAAATACAAAGAGGAGACGGCATAAGCAACTGTGCACTGTGAGTTTAACTAGGTCCTGACGTCAACACAGTGGGCGTGGCTTTAGTTAGTATACTGTCAGCGTTCGTCCTGTGCGCTTATGTGTCGAAAATCGTAAATCAGTGTTTTTTGTAGTATTAAGAAGAAACGGATGAAGTATTGTGTTTTATCGTGTAAAAACTACTCAGATAGACATTCTGATGCTATCGATGGCATCATATTTCATTTGTAAGTAATTCCATACCTAATTTATTAAAATAGTTCTAGAAAATTCTCTGCGTTGGCTTTCCAATATAACTAAATATATTCGACCCTAGATGGCGACACTTTGTGTCATGGGAACTAAAAATATAAAGGTACATAGAGCTCAGTATTGGTAAACTAATCATACGAAGGTGCTGTTATTTGTATTGCATTCACCCCTAAAGAATTTTTAACCGCCAAAATATTATTTTATAATTTTTATAATCATTTTGTGAACAGGCCGTCATGTATCGTCAAGGCATCTAAACTACATTGCAATACCAATATGGAACGATGCGAGCAGTTTTACTATTTATCGGTAGATGGAAAATAGTAAAGTGGGCGGGGATCAACACCTCCTCACCCCGCAAATTGTCACGTGTTGTTACATAGTGACATCTAATTACAACACCTCCTCTTTGTATTTGCTCCATGGTGTTGACCGTGACCTCAAACCATATTCTTTAGGCATAAACGAGCACGTTTATGCCTAAAGAATATGGTTGCACGGCCCGGCCTGTTTGACCTTTCGGCAATCTTTGGAAGACCGACTGGTTCGGTTTTTTTTGCCTCGCCAGTCGATCCGATCATCCGACGCTTTCAGGCCGCTCGTTCATGTTCCGTTCCGCTATTTTGAATTTACGTTTTTGTATAAACGGTTATTTAATATGTGGCGTGTTCGTTATTTATATCCCGACAAGAGAAACGGATTACATTTTGAGGTACCAATATTAGATATTAGGACTTCTTGCGTAATTTAGTTGTAAATAGTTTATTCCAATTTTTAAAATTACGCTATAATACGGACAGTTGTCCGCTACGTCATTGATAAGCAAAAATATATTTTTTTTTTTATTATTTAATTTTATTTATTACTACTATCCCCACGACTTCACCCGCGTGTATTTTAGGGTTATAATTATTTTCGCGGAACCTTTTTTTAAATAGAAGTTGCCTAAGTTACTTATTATAACATCAGCTGTCTGCCACTGAAAGTCCCGTCGAAATCGGTCCAGCCATTTTGGAGATTAGCCGGAACAAACAGACAGACAAACGTTTTAAAAATTGTGTTTTTGTTATAAGTACCGTATATACTTTCATATGCATGTAGTAAAAAGCTGTTATTTTGACATTACAAACAGATACCTCAGTTTTATTTATTTGTATAGATCACGATCCTAAGCCCGTTAAAAGTGAAAAAGGAAAATTGGAATCATAATTTGCTTCATGTAAAATAAAATAAAGGAAAATTGGAATCATAATTTGTTCATCATTACTAGTAAGCGTGTCACTAAAAAAGTAAACAGTAGGCAAAACTTGAGAAATGAAAACGTGAATTGAAGCACACACACAGGAGCGTGCGTAAAAATAGTTGTTGCCTATAAATCATATTCAATTAATAGAGATAATATATGAGAGAATTATTTACTCGTATTTTCGAAAAATGTAATATCGGTATGTATATAATAATGACATCACCCGTAGAATGACGCAAGCGGAATCTCTCACGCCCGGCACCTACACTAAACTTTGTACTGCACAAACGAGTGGAGGGTTTCTGGATATACCCTCTGGATATTCTATCCCGGCACCATCGATATGACGCTCTGCTAGAGTGACGCAACCTCTCCCTTACTCTCGATCCATCCGGTATTTTATAGACACACCTATAAACTTAAAAATTACAGTAATAACGGTCGTGTTATTTCGGATATGTTTACCAATACAGCCCGCTCGCCCTCATACAATATCGAGCGATTGATCCGAGTCTGTATCCGAGTTGTCGCTGTCACCGAACGATTCTGTTATAATGCATCATGTGTTTGTGAAATTGTTAGTTTATTGTTTTAATTGTTGTGTGAGTTTTGTAGCGACTGACGATTGTTTGAGTGTACGTAGATTTCCCCCGCAAAAAAAGACAGTTCTGCATCGAAGGAAAACGCTGTGGTTACTCCCTTCCGGTCCGCCATTGTTGATCAATTCCGCTAAAACAAATTGTGGCTCCTGTATATCGTATAAACAATAATATGATGTGGATTTGATTATGATACGTAAAAGTTGTGCAATGTTGTGTATTAAATGATTGTGTAAATTATTATTTGAAACGATATCAACAAGTGCTTCGATATAAATCTCAAGTTTTTTATATCTACTTGTTCGTCTTGAGATACGTCTCCAACAGTCTGCTGAATTAACTTGTCTTCAAAATCTCTCAATAACTTCACAATGTAACGCATTAGCATTAGCATTTAGAGAAGATTTTTGTGACAAAAAAATACACATCAGACTATTATAGGATAAACTTTTATTTCGACTGAAAAGTAAGGTATCCATCTTACCGTATTAAATTTAAAAAAAAGCTAAATGACATTAGAAATTTTGAATTTGACTTTGACTTGACGTTAGCAATTGCCAAAGTTGTGTTAAATTTCGGCGGTAATAAATAATAAATATATTCTACAAATTGAAACAAACGCACATAATACTTTTTAGTCATTGAATTTGAATTGAATAAAATAAGTGGATTTTAGTTCTACTATTACTAAAGACCATGAGTTTTACATTTGGCCAGTCAACTACTACCACAACAGGGTCCACTTTTGGCACCAATACCTTATCAGGGGGTAAGAAAGAATGTTTTTAAACTATTGATATTCGGTTTAAGTTTTCAAGAGTAAATATTGGAGTTTTGTTTTCATTATATTTGTAATTTAGTTTAATTTTTCTTACTTTTTAATAGGTTATGACAACATAGACAAATTGTGTATTAAATTTTCAGGGAACTTGTTCGGGGCTGGTGATTCCAAACCTTTTCAAAGTCCTGGAACCGGTAAGTTTCAAGCATTATCTTCTTATTATTTAGATAACCTGTAGAATGTGCCCAATAATACAATGCGCTTAGACCTGGAGTTGCGGAAAAAAGCCCGTCGTAATCTAATGTAATCTAACCTATAGAACATACTTTTATGCTTAAGTATTTTTCCCTAACTTGTGTCTTTATAATACTGGTGGTTTTACATTAAAAACTTTATTTTAGAGAGTCATGAAATGCATATATATTGAGGGTCATGATATTTATTAATACCTTTAAGAATGCCTGTGATCCTACAGCTTAATAAATTTTGTATTAAATATGTCATTATATTTGCTTTTGTCTCTGGCATGATATCATGTTATGACGATAATGATACCAATATCCTTATTAAACATTTAAATAAATGAAATCATTTTGTTATTTAATAATAAATTGCTTCCAAATCTTAGACTGTTTTAAAAAGTAACTTATATCACAAATATTTCTGTTAAAGTAATTGTTTTTTCCAGATAACAAAGTGAATTTCTTCACAAGTCCCACAACAAGTGCACCTGCATTTGGCAGTTTCTCGTTTGGTCCAAAAACTACAGCGTCTACTTCAGGGCTTTGTAAGTAGCCTTTCTTGTTTTAAAACTCAATCACTATCAGTTATAGCTTTTCTGTTAGCAAAGAAATCGTAATGTGGAATGGGAATACAACATAACTATAGAGAGAACAGATGTAGGGCCAACAGCTTTGCCAACAGCATGCCTTCTGAGGCTGCTACAGAGCAATTCTTGACAGAAAATCATTTTTAACATCTATTTGTTTTAATTATAATATCTTCAACTTTTTATTAAAGAAGGTTTGATATATATTTTTTATATAGGATAGGGTGACAAACGAGCAAACAGTCCACCCGATGGTAAGTGGTTGCTGCGGCCCATAGACACCTACATCTATCCTCGTTTGCGGATCAAAATGCAGATGCATTGTCACCCGTGAGGACTAAGATGGAATGCCTCTTTTCCAGTAAAAAGGGTCTCCGGTTCTCTACACTCACCATACGAAACACAGCAGTGTTAAACTGCTATTTGATGCTGGTATTCTGTGAAAGCGTGGTCCTTCCCCAGTCGAGCCGACCCATTCGTGCTACAACTATACTACTAATATAGTTGCAGAATGGCTCTACCACGTATAAAAAAAATCTTGTCGTTTTATGTATATAAAAAGCACAAAAAAACGGTTAAGTATAATCGATGCTTGCAGTGTGCCATTGATATTTTCAAGTAAATTATGTATTGTTGACTATCCTACAAAAAAAAATATTGGGTAAAATACACTTCTCTCCACAATCTTACATTATCTTTGTAAAAACTCAACATCAACATCGATATTTAGGTTAATTATCACTCATTCATATTTTAGCTTTATTACTCTAAACTATGAGTGATAATTTTGCACCTACATAAAAAAAATTTGGTTTAATAATATCTATTGTCGTTTTCTTTTGTACCCAAAAAATAAAAAGACAGATGAATTATAGTGACTAGTATAATTTATTACTGAAATGTGAATGAATGAATTTTAATGAAAACTGAATTTGTGGCTCAATCTACAATGTAACTATAATGTTTAACAGACATAACTAAGTCTTGAAATTTTATGTAGTAGAGCCATTCACTTCTTTTCTCTACCAACCTGTGGCAGTCAACAGCTGACACTGACCTATCCTTTTGTAAAGAGGCCTTTATTGTTGCTTAGAAAAGGTTCTAAAAAAATAGATTGTATTTATTTTGCTTTGGCTCAGAAGATAACTCAGTTCTGGGAAGAACTGGCAAGAAACCCAGCAGGATTACATTTTAGTCACGAAATATTTCATTACTTTTCTTTAATATTGCAGTTTCAAGTCCGACAACAACAACCGCCAGTTCAGCGTTCGGAGCATCTAAGCCACTATCATTTGGAGGATTCACATCTCCTCCAAATCAAACTGTTGGTAGCCCTGGGTTTGGACAACCAGCCACTCAGGTAATGCACTCATCACGCACAACTTTCTAAAATAATTCAGTACTTTAAAAAAAGAATCCTGCAACCTTGACTATTTAAACATTGTAGCGGCGCGTTTGTTTACATATTGAACAACACTACTCCAATAGTTATGAAAAGTAAAGTAAAACAAAGTAAAGTTACAGCCTATATACAACCTACTCCGTGGCACTGACCTCTCAGAGAGGTGAAAGGAGAAGGTTTTATGGCAAGAAAGTATCCACTGCGCAGCCTAAATATGTGTTGGAGAACTTTACATCTATTCAAAGTATTTTTGTTCCCCTGAGCTACCAGTAATTTAAAAAAATTAAGCACATTTTATTATATTTTGTCATAATAAAGTTTCTGATGAAAATTTAAGTAAATGGGATTTAATGCATAGAGATGCTGTCAAAGGCGGCTGATAATTGGTGCTCCTTTTTAGTAAACTTAAAACAAGGAGTTTTTTAATTCGAACATAATAATATGTTCTTTTGCTTGTGGTGTAAAGAAAACTATTCAATAGAAACAAAAGACTAAAAAATACCAATAAAACTAAATAAATAGTCATGAATTTTCAAAGTTTTAATTAAAACATAAAATTCCGAAAACAGCTGCAGTGTTTAGGAATTCAGTTTCTTACTAAATAATGGATTGTAACTTTATATGGAGTCATAAAAACTCAGTTTGAAATTTAAAAAGATAAAGCGGTCCAACGTACTATGGATTTAGATAGAAATGGGCACAGATCTTTTGCCATGACAAAAATTCGCCAAATCACTCCTTCTAGTGAATAATAGGGAATAGGCTATTACACAACTTTAGTATTTAAAATCCGTTTTTATTACGGTACGTTATTTATTAAAAATATTTTTGTTTATTATTCCAGAATGCACCACAAAATCTGTCTTTTGGTCAAACATCCACAACACAACAACAGTCCACACTGGCTTTTGGGACTCCTGCAACCCAAGGTAAACCATTTAGGTTTTATTTTCTATCGACTTCAAAAACAAGGAGGTATTCAATTTAACTGTATGTTTTATTTATGTGTGTTACCTCATGACTATTTCCTTGATTAACCAATTTCGATGATTCTTTTTTATTTGAAAGCTGTTGCTTCTCATGTGGTACCATATAAATTTGATCAAGGTCTGACCAGTAGTTTTTGAGGTATCCTTAATAATTTATATTGAAGTAGGTTGTACAAAATTTTTCAATTTTACCACGTTGTGGTATGCAAGCAACCAAATTCAATAAATTCATTGAGAAGATATGAATATCTCATTGTGTGCCTTTTGACGCCACTAGTTATTTTGAAAAGGTATTAACAAATTTTATCTAGAATTTCGTGCTTTAAGAAAACATCCATTATATTACCAAAAAGTTCCAAAGATATTCCAAGTAGAGCAATACTGATTACATACATCGTTACTGTAGACTTGGTGCCATATTTATACTATAAATATATACAAGTTATCAAATAAGAGGATTAAAAAATGTATATGTTTGTAGCAGCCTCTTCTTTCGGATCTCCAACTGCTTCTGGCTTTGGCTTCTCGAAACCAGCCACAAATACCGGTTTCACATTAACTCCTACTTCGGGTTTCTCAGTCCCGCAACCAACTGCCGTAAGTATAATTTTTAATTTATTGATTTTATTTGAAATATTGTATTTGTGGTGCTGGATGTTTCATTATGTACAAATAAAAATGTGATAAAATCCAAAACAAGGATATCTGCCGTAGAACCAACATAATTGGCACAGTGCAATAGTATCTAATATATATAATAATAAGCTGAATTTGCAATAGACTGTATCCATATTGTTAATAAAAGAACAGGCAACTGGTTGTTAAATTTTTTTATTGAACATCAGATTCGTACTGGTAAGTATCATCAGCACACAATCCACCTGATGATAAGTTAATACTGTGACCCATAGACGCAGACTAAGATTCAATATTCAGATGCATTGTCTGCCTCAAACCGTCTGCGTTACATTGTTTGTCTGCCTGAATTCTTTACTAGTAAAAAGGGACTTCGGTTCTTTATGAATGTCAAACACGATCCAGTTTACCGTCAAGTTTGCAGCGCGCTTGAAGCGACGTCCGGTAAACTTGACGGTGTATGGCTATCAGTGTGCATGACAAGTCTACTTGGAGCAAAAATTGAATTTCGATTCTGCCGACTTGATTAAGTGTACAGCGTCATGTAATATGGATTGCGTATGAGCGGTTAAGTATGCATGAAGTTAATTGAAGCAATAAGCGAGAGACTCCATAGTTTCAACTGGTGCGATATCATGCAAACTTGACGGCGAACTTGAACGTGAGTGGTCAATATGGATGTATTACAAACTGGATGCTGCTTCAAGCACACTGCAAATTTTGAACCCCACTGCCACTAATAAAACTGCCAAATGCAAATTTAAATCTGGATTGTGGATGCTCCGAGGGTAAAGAATAATGTCACAAGTAAACCTGTGAAGTCTGACAACACTTAATGGTGCAGTGTGGTGGATTCTCATTACACTTAATACCCTCACAGAAATAATAGGTCTTTGCCCGGCTGTGGGACAATGTAGGCTTTAATTAGGTAACTATAAATAGGTTTTAGTAGTTTCGATATTGGATACACTTGAATTTTTTTATCATTTCTAGACCTCAGCAACGACCCAACCAGCCCAATCAAGTTTCTCACTGACGCCAGCTACAACCTCGGCTAGTGGATTTGCACAAAGCACTCCAGGTTTCTCACAAATGTTTGGGAAACCATCATTCAGTTTTGCACCGACCACTACCACAACGGGGACTGCGGTGGCTGCTACTACTAGTGCAGGTCAGTGTTTATGCCATGATTTCTTATATTAATGTGAATACTACACATTGAATAACACAAATTTTACAAAAATGTAATCCATTTCAGACCAAAAATAGATAATTTAAAGCTGAAGGTGGCCTGGTTAAACTATAACATCAGGACATTCAACACCTAAGTTCTTATTGACCATGACTACAGTAAAATAAAATGTTGGTACTTAAAAATGTATGAAAAGTAAACTCAGTAAAATCCACAGACTTACTACTAAATGGGCTCTGCTCTGCTTCATACATTGCACACTAAGTTAACGTCAATTATCCATAACTCATTCAATCGACTGCGAGTGGGCGAGAAGACTTCTTTGTTTTGTAAACCGCTATGTTCAGCAGTGAACTTTGGATAGGATGTAACTATAACAGTTTATATCTTCATGATGTGCTAATTTATTGCTTTTCTTTAAATTATGGAGACATAAATAAATTAGATATATTTGCTGCCTCGCAATACAAATTACAATAACTTAATACAATATTTTAATATTTTTTTTTATAGGATAGGGTGACAAACGAGCACACAGACCACCTGATGGTAAGTGGTTACTGTGGCCCATAGACATCATCTACATTTATCCTCGTTTGCGAATCAAAATGCAGATGCGTTGTCACCCGTGAGGACTAAGATAGAATGCCTCTTTTCCAGTAAAAAGGGTCTCCAGTTCTCTACACTCACCATACGAAACACAGCAGCATGAAGCTGCTATTTGACGCTGGTATTCTGTGAGAAATTAATAAACAATTTCGAAACATTTATTTCAGCTCCATCTTTTGGCACACCAGCAACATCCAGTTTCACGATCCAACCACAACCGCAAACAACTTCAACCGGTTTCTCCTTTGGCCAGCCACAAACAACTACGACAACAACAATATCTTCCGGTTTCTCCTTTAATCAAGGACAAACACCAACAACTAGTTTTGCTACAAGTCAACCTCAAACAACAAGTCAAGCCCAACCGAGCTTAAGCTTTGGAACAACACAAACAGCCACGCCGACAACAAGCCAGCAAACTACATCCACCCTGAGTTTTGGTGGGGGTGGTGCGTCAAAGCCCGCGACTGGGCTAACATTCCCGACAAGCCAAGCCGGCTTAAGCCTTAGTACGGCTCAAACAACTGGTCTTAGTTTTGGTGGTACTTTAACAACATCAACGGCTCAAGCACCAAGTGGTTTTGGTGTACCTGCAGCTACAACTACTACAAGTTTTGCGACAAGCCAACCCGCAACGACGCCAGCGACATCTGCGATCAGTTTTAGTGCAACTACTACGAGTAGTGGGTTTGGTGTTACTGGAACTAGCGGTGGACTGTCGTTTGGTAAACCCACTACTACTACAGCTACTTCTGGAACGGGTAAGTGCGTTTTATTTTTAATTGGGTATTTCACACTAAGAATTTTTTCAAGAAGGTTTTTTGGGTACATATGTATACTATATTGCAATAAAAACTAATAATACTACTAATACTAATAACAATATTTTGTAGGCCATGTAAACACTTATACCGTGCGGGATTTGAACCCGCAACCTGCATCGTCGTAGCCAAACGCTCAGCCAATTTGCTACGAAACTACCAGAAATGTTTCCAAAGCTATGAATGTATCAACTTTATTTCGTTTTATGGTGATACTCATATTATTATTCCGTATAGTAGTGTCGCTAAAGAGACCCAATAATTTATTTTATATATAGAAGTAAGAGACAAAACCCCTCTCAGAAGTGGATGAAGAGGAGGTCTGTGCCCAGTGGGACGTATATAGGCTGTACCTTCTTTAGTACTTACTACTTACTTAGAACTTCTATAGAAGTAAGAGACAAATAAGCGCTAATTCCATCTGCAGGGCATGGGCAGGAGATAATTTTATCCCTGGGGATAGGAGAAAATGTTTATCCCCTCACTTAGTTTTATCCACTCTTCGAGCATGGGCAACACCGGTGGATATAATATCGACAGTAGATAAAATTTGAGATAGACTTAAACTTAGATAGATTTTTTGTATGAATATAAACTTAAACCCACGTTCAATGAACAAGGATAAAATTGTCCCTTTCAAATGTCAAAAAAGCATAATTGTTTATTTTTCATTTGGCTCCATGCTACGGATGGGGATATATGTCTACTCGTTATGTCAAACGATGATATACTTCTCCCCGATGCTTTGGCATAGGGACAAGATAATTTTATCTCTTGTCAGTGGATATAATCGGGGGATAAAAACTTTGTCCCCAGCCCATGCTAGCCGTGCTGGTGGTAAGAGGATTCTGTGTCCTATATATATATGTATATTTCTCCTCAATTAGGAATTAAAATTAGTTATTTCATTATCATTATTGTAATGAATCAAGGATTTTTGAAGATATTTTCTTTCCTACGTCCATGCCCATAAAAATTGGCCACTCTATTTACAGTACAATGATTTGGTCAGCTCAATACCCACTTACACTTTTAACCTTTGCCTTTATTTTTAAAAGTCTAAATAAAAAAAACAAAATGTCACTTTGACTACTAATTATCAATGTCAGAATTATGTAAATAATAGCTTATATTTTTTTTAGATTTATAAATAATAAAGTATAAATAGCACGACTTTTAAGTAATAGAATTGATCATCTTATAAAATTAATAATCCTGAAATCACGCATAGAGTCCTGTTTTATATTGGGCTGAAATTGTATGCAAAACTCATGAGCGATAAAAATACCAGCGAAGTTTCACCGTTTCTTCTCTGATTAGAGAATCTTCGTAGTTTTGGAAAAAAAATACTTTTTGACAAATGAAATTTTATTTTCCCACTTTGAAGAAATTAATATAATATTTCATTTCATAAGCAATGGTCATTCATCATCATAATAGAGATATTGCTATTGAAGATCAAGTAATATCAACATTATCTATGTCTATTGTCAAGCTGCAATGAACCCAAGTGTTCTGGTTTGAAAGGTATGGTGGAATAGTGTTGCTACAAGCTTTGAAACATTCCATTCTAGTCCTAAAGGTGACAAAGTATTCCTTTACTGATAAATAATTTCTCTTTTTAACCGACTTCAAAAAGGAGGAGGTTCTCAATTTTTTTATGTATGTTCACTGAATACTTGAAGACGCCTAAACCGATTAGGAAAATTCTTTTGTTTCAAAGGGTATACTTCCCAGGTGGTCACATTTAAAATTTTTGAAAATCTGTCAGACGGTTTTAAAAAAATCAAGAATAAATTATTTTTTATATTGAAGTTGGTTGTACAAAATTTTTAATTTCACCACTTGTAAATCTAATAAATACTCTATTTAGAGCCAGAAAATAAGGGTAATGAGGCATTTTATTTCTTCGTCAGGGGTTTTAAGCTTATTATTTAGTCATGATAATGATAGTCTTTATTACTATAAAAAGTGTCAAAGTTAATAACATTTTAAAGCTCAAGTTCCATCAATAGTCTATAATGACAACTTGGGCTCAACACTTCAAACATATAGATGGATAAGGCTCAGATGGCAGAGAATCATCCAAAAACTTCCTCTTCATTATCAGCCTGTAACAATCAATTGCTGAACATGTGCCTGTGCCATTGTAGGGAAGAATTTGCCTTAATCGAGCTAAACAGATGTCGATCGCAACACCAGCTGCTTAGGCTGTGAGATTTTTTTGGCATTTTCCATAGTCATCTCTTACGACAACCACGGGGCGAAGTGAGGAAATGGATTATTTTACGCCACCACCACACGGTATTTCAAAAATTTGCTGGTCCCTAATTTTAAAATTGGTGATGGAGAGCCAAATGTAGTAGCCGAGAATCCTCTGGCCCATATCATCCTGTGGGTGTCGCATAAAGGGCGACAGAGGAAAACTGAAACAGTAATATAATAAACAGCATCCTCCTGATAACTCGTCAAAATAATAAAGAACTGCAATTGCAAACCTGCCCTTCAAGCGTGGCAACTACGGTTAATATTCCCGTTTGGGGCGATCTATGGGGGACGTCTGTTTTAAATTGCAGCAGCGAATTGCCAGTCTCAGTTACAGATGTCTAACACCTTTACTAAATATACAAAAACTGAATTCCGCCAAGTTTAAAAACTTCACAAAATAAAAGTTATATAATAACAAATTCAACATTTTAAAAATCCCTGAAAAAAGTGCTGATGATCTTCAAAGGGCTCAAAAGATTCTCTTGAATCATAAATAAGAACACTCTCTGATCGAGATCGAGTTACCTTTCAAACAAGAAAAACTAAATCTATATCGGTTCATCCCTTTGGGAGCTACAATGCCATTGACAGACACACAGATACACATGTTGAACATATATAACACCCCTCTTTTTCGTCGGGTTTAAAAAAGGTTATTATAATATTTATGGATGATAATAATAATAACCACTGGGAATGAGGTGACCGCTACAAAGTTATTTCCAATTTGTTTAGTGTTGTTAATTATCTATATCTATACACATAAATAAAATTGATTTGTCTGTTTGTAATGTTAAAATAACAGCTTTTTACTAAATGCACATGAAAGTATTATACGGTACTTGTAACAAAAACACAATTTTTAAAATTTTTGTCTGTCTGTTTGTTCCGACTAATCTCCGAAATGGCTAGTCCGATTTCGACGAGACTTACACTGGCAGATAGCTGAAATTATAAGGAGTAACTTAAGTTACTTATATTTTAGAATAAGAATTAGGATTCCGCGTAACATAATTAAAACCCTGAATTACACGCGGGAAAACCCTAAATTACACGCAGGTTACAGCTAGTTGTATAACTATAATTGTAAACTATTCTTTTTTCAAATAAAGTCACAATGGGCTTCTTGCTGGTTCTTACCAGGACAGAGGTATTTTCAGAACCAGTGGTAAATTAAACTTAAGAGTGACTTTCAAACAATATTATTTATAATCTATATTGAATAAAAAAAATCGGTTGTCTGTAAAGTCGGTTTACTGACGATAGTTGAACGTGACAACGTCATAAGAAAATGTTGCTATAAAGAATTGTCACCACATTCACTTTTCACTGCACTTCATACTTGATGAAAACATGGAAATGTAATATTGTATAGCAGCTGTCCATGCGAACGCATCGCTCACTCAAGTAGGAGAGAGACAGATGTCGAGCGCTGCCGAACACGGAGGCCGATTGTGCCTCTTTGTCGCTCGTTCCGCGCTCTCCTTGCACTTCAAGCCTTAAATGGAACGCCTCAGAGCGAGGTAACGCCGCATGAGTCATGTTTTTACGTGCGTGCAGCCAGCTTCATCGAATTAGAAGACGTTGTCACATCAAAAATATCTATTTTTATTTGGCTGTATCGGTGATATCAGAAGCCACAAGATCACACACCCACAAGATGAAATGGAGTGATAGAATCTCTTAAGTCGCCACCATATGGTAGCAAAACAGTGTTATTTTATAGAAATAATTGAAAAGTGACAGCCGAATATGTATTTAAACAGTTTCGTGAAGTCAATAATTTAATCCTTCATGTGTTAGGTTTTGCACCTAGGGACCAAAAACTGTAATCTCAGCATATTTTGTTTATACTATGTATTAATAAAATTTTTGCCATTCTTAATTTAGTATAATATTAGTAGTATAGTTACTATTTTACATTTTCTTTTCAGCTACATCAGCGCCCTCTGGTATGTTGTCACTGGGTAAATCCACCGCAGCTTCTACTATGCCGACTCTAACTACCACCACAACGTAAGTTGTCTAACACAAACTACATTTTATAATATTTGTATTATTTAAGTTGTTAACACCTATGATAGGATTAATGCAATTGACTTTACTACGTGCCGTCTGAGTAAATACCACTCTGTCATTTATTATTTGGCGGCTGAAATTGATGTAGAGTCAGTATAATTCCAGGCTGTGAGGTATTCCATTTGTCCCAGTTGTGATAATGTGCCTGTACTCTTCTTTGCTTAAATTTGGCTGTAGGTCACCTTCGACTGCAGTAGCCACTAAAAGTTAAGCAAAAAAAAAGATTAGCATCAAAAAAAGTTAAGCATCTAAAAGTTTACAGTCGGTTATGATTAATCCAGCTTATAATAATAATATTAAGATATTTTTTATTTCAAAATTAATATCCAATTATGCTAAAATTATTTTGTAAGTTATAATATCCTCTAGACCGAATTTCGGTCACGGCGGCCAGTCTTAACGGAGACTAGCCATCTACGCAGGATAGGATTTTGGTGCACGAATATGTGCGCAAACACAAGTGCAATTGCTAATCCCTCACCCTGTGTCCGATTATATGGTTATCCGATACGCCAGGAGAGAGATCTGGCTTTCTGAGGCTCAGTGGTGAGAATTTTTTGACAGAAAAACCCAATAATGTTTTTGAAGTTACTGCCATAATAGAATGTTTTGACACACATCCAAACCCCTTTGTTGGCCATACAAACATTTGTTCAATGCGGGATTCGAACCGGCGTCCCTGCATAACTAAACGCTTAGTCACCGTTCAAATATTATTTATAAGTAAGTACAGAAGAATAGACAAATCACTGCAATGTGGATTTTTATTTTAAACAATAATTACTTCTTACAGTACAACAGCCGCAGCTCCGCCGCAACAGATCACCTCAATAACATTCGCTCAACTCGAAGAGAACATAAACAAATGGACGCTCGAATTGGAGGAACAAGAGAAGATATTTATAAACCAAGCCACACAGATTAACGCTTGGGACAGACTGCTCATTGCTAATGGAGAGATGGTAAAGTTATTGACTATAGTTCAAGGTTAATATAGTAAAAGAATAGGTTTGGTTAGCACTCAGTTCATCTGACTAGAGTTGGTTTTGAACCCTTTAATATAGGTTTTGTTGGACCTTGATTAATATAGACTTGTTGTTGATAACTAGTGTTTTACAGCCTTTTATCTAGGTAAGGGTAAGAGAGTTAGTTAACTCTCTTTTCCTTTAGACCGGAATAGTGGTTACGCTGCTGTTTAGCACTATCAGTAGGTAAGAAGGTAGTACCAACTCCTAAGTACTTCGTGGTACTTTCTACTTACCAGATCAGTAATTTTTCGAACGCAGAGCGTCTGGTACAATGATTGTCAATTAACTTCATAAGCTTCGCAATCAAAAACATTAATTTGGAAAAAATAAGGTTTATGATTAATTCATATTTACAAATGTCACTATCGAGAATGTGACTATTCTACGATACCGAATTACCGCGGAGACTTTTCAGTATGGTTTGGCTTTTCTGCGTGTTCTATCTAAGTGTGTTTAATTTTTATTATTGTATGTAACATAGCAACGATTATTCTTTTTCCTTTTTTTTAATTAAATCGTAAACGCAAGTGTATTTCTTAGACAGAGATCGATGACGACAAAACTCAATGTCAGAACGTCTGATTAGTAAAGAGTAAAGTGTAATATAAAGGTAAGTGTTTTCAAAAATAAAAAAGAAAACAATACCTAGATATGCCGGCCGGCCGGCGGCCGAAAAATAGACTCCATTTTTTGCGAACTTTTTTTATGCATGTACATATATGTATGCGTTCGAACTGTTTAAAGCAAAAATAAACCTTATACTATTACCAGAAGAGCACATGGTACTTCGTAGGCCCATTCCGCCATATGATAATAATAAGATGGCAGTTTAACCATTTTAAGCAAAATTAAACCATAAGACAAACGCATTATGTTTTTTTTTTTTAACAGGAGACTTTCCAGAAACTTTTTTACAGCTTGAGTTCGTGAGCTATTATTAGTTGCTCATTAGAGAGTATTTTTCCACAACATGATTTAAAAAGCCACTCAATAAAAAATAATGCCAACCAGAAGTTTAAAAAGGTTGTCAACCCCTGACAATTTCAAATTCACAAAATATCTAGAAATGAAGACTGCAATGAACTACTTGCAAATTAATGTATATTTTGCTCTACATAAATATTCCAAAAACTCAATTTGAGCGAGTTATAATGATTTTTAAAAATGACACCACAGAAAAAAATCGATACATCCGCAATGAATCGGTTAACATGCATTGGGGCAGTGTCCTGGATACTTCCCTGCCCTAAACCCCTCTTAGAAATTACAGGTAACCAGAAGTGGGACGTATATAGGTTTTTATTACTTTACTTTTATGATATACATATTTTGTGTATACCATAAAAGTGTCTCAGACCCGTTCCAAACTTTCTGATTCTTAATTTAGACTGTAATTATGGTACAAAATTTTAATATAGTTCCAGTTAAGGTACCAGAATCACAAATACCAATTCTATGCTCAGTTTTTTGGGTGTTGAAGATGTAAGCCTATAGGGAGTTTTAGTTTACTTTTTATTTTATAGCATTTTAACAGAGACCCTTTTTACTGGCATTATATCTTAGTTCTCGGGGATGACAATGTATCTAAATTATGATTTTCAATTGAGTCTATAGACCACAGCATCCATTTACAACCCGGTGGACTGTGTGCTTGTTTGGTAAAAAAAAAATAAGGACATAATACATGTATACTCCGCCAAATCTAAGAAATACCTTTAAAAGGTCAGCTGTCACATTTATTTGACTAGGCGTTTCAACTGAAAAATCGAATTTTTTTCGAAACCTTCAATATTCGATCACTAAAAGTAATCGATATCGATTCTTTAGAGTTGTTAATCATTTACAGTTTTATCTAGACTAATACCAGAATAAATTGGAAATAGGTAACTCAAAACACAAAATTTATCAGATTTTCTTTTCATATTTATTGCTTACTACTGATTTCTACAGAAAAGTTATATAAATTAAAGCCTGCACTAGATTAAAAATAAATTTATTTCATCACTTTCACTTGAGTTCAGTTGAGCTGTCGTCTTTACCATCGTTTACAATTATTATTATTTGATTTTCTACAAATCCTCCTCCGCCAATTCACGTGGAAATTATGAGGTACCCACCTTTTCCCACGGTCAGGTGACATCTGTCCATGTTGATGCGGTTGGCATTTAGCCATGTTTTATCAATGTATACGTTGTCCCAATTGGTTATATTTTTAGTTTCTCTTAAAAATGTTATTCTTTACATTAATGTCTCCAAATAATTATTTTGTATTCGTTATTTTTTTTTGTACTGGAAGCCAACTCCTTTTTAGATGGTCTCCATTGAGAACACCTTGTACAATGGTACTGCCGGCTTATACAATGGTAGTATAGGCCGGCATCTTTTATAATTCGTCGTTAAAAATATTCAAATAATCGAACCATCGTAATTTACTATTTCCTGGTTTAAAAATTTATTTTTGGAGTTTCATAAATTATATGAATCAAGAATGAAACGAGTTAATTTTTTTAATTTCTGTGAACTCCACTGTAGCGAAGTTGCGAGTAGGTTTAGAATCTAAACAAGGAAATAGTAAATTACGATGGTTCGATTATTTGAATATTTTTAACGATTATTCCCATTAGCATGAATTTGAATCATCCAAACACTATGGTAAGGTGCATAACGACACATTGATACAATGTCAAACACAAAAGTTGATTCTGGTTAAATTTTATATATTTTGTTTTGCTTTTTAAATTCTAATGCCAATGAAATATAGAGAATTTCATAATTCTTTGGATTTAGGTAAAAGGTTATTTTAAATCGTATGAGGGCACTTGTACAAAGTTATTGCAGAATGAATAATGTGAAACGTCTAAAGAAAGATATTTATTAGATTTGGTTGAGTATAGTGAATAGAAATCCAACATCCAAAAATAATGAGGCCAATTGGCCTGTATATTTTTGGATTAGTTTTATTATATCAAGTGATGTAATAAAAACTACGTTGTTATTTCACAAACCTTAATTTTTAAGCTCATCTGACATTATGTTTAGTTTTGATGATATAATCTATTTTGTATAATATATATTATACCATAAATACCTTTAATTATTTTCAACAGATTGTAGAACTAAACGACACAATACAAACCGTTAAGAATGAGCAGCAGAGCTTAGAACATGAACTAGATTTTGTGTTGGCACAACAGAAAGAACTCGAAGACATTCTGACCCCTATGGAAAAACAACTAGTCAACGAAACCGGCGATAGATTGCGTGATCCGGAGAGAGAACACATGTAAGTACACCAGAATATGTACTAAATAAAACTGCACAATGGAGACGAGACTTCGGTACCTTTAAAAAAAGCCTACTCTTTTTAGAAGTAGTTCATGAGCGGCGTGGGTTTCCATCAGGGAGCCGCATGCTCGTTTGCTCCCCATTCTATAAAAAAAAAATGTAAATTTTATATTTATTTTGTCGTATTTTTATTATTTGTTAAAAACAGAATTTGATATTAAAACTATATTCCTAGGATTACACTCTATATTGGAAAAAATATTATTTTTTTTCTAATTTTCTTAATTTATTGTACATCCACAAATCCACAAATGATTATGTAGAAATTTAGCCTTTATTCTCATTGTACTTTTGAAATTTATGAATAGTTTTTTGTATAGTGATATAACTTAATATTCCTTTCAATGGAAGAAGCCGCAGGATGTAAGGAAGGATTTTAGGATTTTCATAAGCGACAAATCCTATCCGATATAGAAAGCAAACATTATCCAGCAGGTGTATAGATACTAGATAGACTGATTATTTATTTTGCCTCTCGTTTAGCAAGTTTAATATAAAATACAAACTTGTATTAAACTTAAACCTCTCCCAAATTCCAAATTAAGGGAACTCTTCGGCTCTTTTAGGCAATTTCAATGCGGCAATCTACTTTTCACTATTAACACAAAACAAAATTGTTTTGTTAAAATATATTGGTAGTATCAATTATTCTTTTTTTTACACACTGGGCTGTAGGGAATGCGACATGTAACAACACTATATATGCTATCATTATATGTGCTAACACTTTTTTAAAATGCCAAATGAAGCTCCGATCTGTCCAAAACAGCTGAACATGATACTGTCGTGATTGTATTCTGACGCATTCTCGAAAAGGCGATTGTCTAACTGTGGATTTAAAGCCTTTAATATGTTTGTGTATTTTTCTAACAAAACATTGATTAGGTTTTTTTGTAATGCAGGTATTCGCTAGCTGAGAATTTAGATACACAGCTAAAAACAATGTCTGAAGATCTGAAAGAAGTTATAGAACACCTGAATGAGACCAATAGAAGTCAAGATACCAATGACCCTGTAAGTTATTTTTCTATATTGTCAAATGATATGATAACATGTGATTTGTTAATTTATCCAGTTAACAATCTTTTTTTATCGATTTTACTGTACGACTTTGTTTACCGCCTTGTAGTGGCGACGTGGCTTAACCCACTACCCCATCTCGTTGGTGTCAGGCGACAGAGAGGGCCAGCAGCATATTCCTGAAACTGAGGTTAACAACCAGCTGCCGCTGCCAAGCGTGTGGTAACTATGGCAAATATCCCCATCCCCTATGAGGCAATCTCTGGGGGAGCCTATGTTCATCAGTGGACATTTGATAAGGTGTTATGATGATGATGATACCGCCATTTACTATTGGAGGCTATTTCTTTTTTTATTTCTTGTCTCTTACAACTATTTCCTCCATTCAACTAAAACTTTATTCGCTCAATATTTGTTACTGTATTTTTTCAGATCGTTCAAATCGGTCGTATTCTGAACGCACATATGTCGTCAATGCAGTGGATCGACAACTCAATCGCACAGATATCAACAAAACTTGATCAGTTAAAAGCGACACACGATACACTGAGAAGAGATAATGAAAGATCTTTCCAACTTACATATAACTGATTTTCTTAACCAATTGCAGTGGCATAAGCAGACTTACATCAAAGTGATTACACTGTAGTGTTGGAATTTAATTTAAAACTTTTAAATGTGCCATGGGCGCCAAACTTTCGATAATTCTGTTTGATTTTGTGTTTAAATGATTCTTTGTCAGGCTGAAACAACTGAGTGTTCAATAAATAAGTGTTACATCATGAATATATCAATTATGATTAAAAGTTTAAATGTATTGTTGTGTTTACTAATATCTTTCCTTCGTATTATTAGGTTGGGAAAAAAGTTTGTTCGTATTTAAATTACATTTATTATTTTAATTTATTTAAATTACATTTTTATATTTATTTTAATTAAATTTAAATTACATATTGTTTGATAACCTATTGCAATCTTGTAGGTAGTGACACATAGATTACCCCCTAATAGATACGGCATCATTGAATATTTGTTCTGTTTTGAGTTCACCAAATGTGGCGGTATGTAAGGGTTGCGGGGGACGTGTCAAATGCGCTGTGGTTGGACATTTACAGGTCAAACTTAAAATATACCAAACCGTAGTGATGGAATAGGGTTGGGATGTTAATCGATAAATTTGGGATTTATTGATTATTGATAAAAAAATATATTGATCAATTTTTATTTGATGTATATTAAAAAATAAAACAATGTATACATATATTTTTACATTTAACTTATAAATATATATTTGACTGATTTTTAAAATGGATAAGCTTAGTATAAAATTGTCTCACCGAATTCTTAGGATCTGTCTTCCTGGATAAGTAGAGTAATCATATGTCTATGTATTTTGCCATGACACTCTTTGCTAAATCAATGACATGATTACAACTTTCGTGATCGAATTGGTGATTTTTTATTTCAGGAAAAATATCCTCATTAACAAAACTGCTTAATATTTATATTAAAAAAAACCTGGACGACCATCTACAGATCTGTACCAGTTTCCTAGTGTTTTACAGAGGATAAACAAGAATTAAATGTTTTGCGTACAGAATTATAAGCCTCAGTTAGTAAAAATTTATGGTGAGTGTATAAGCTCTCAACTGTAGTGAACATTTTTTTCTAACAATTTTGTCTATTTTTCTTTTCAATATTTGACGACACATAATTTCACCACATTTGACCCCTAAGGAACTTAATACGTCATTGTTTTCAGCTGTTAATAAATTTTTGTTTCCTAATTCTACCAATAATGACTTCAAAGAAACTATTTGTCTTTTTAGTCTTCTGTTGAAATAACTTAACTTTTTAATTTTTTTATCTTTTCTGTTCATTACGTTGGTTAATTTGATGATTCTTCTATAAAGATGTTTTTAACTGGAGTATCAAATGTAGATGGCGTATCAGGTATAGGAGAAAATTTTCTTTTTTGTTTTCTATGCGTTTCTAAGCAATGTCTCTTATTTTTACCTGTTAACGAGTTTTTGCGTCTTCCAGCGGTGAACCAGTAATCTGAAATACGTATTCGTTTCTTTTAAAATATTACCAATAATTATTAAGGTACTTATAATACGTTTATGATTTTTTTATACAAATTATAATCATTTAATTAATTCTTATTATAATCATACTGTTGCGCGCCACTATTAATGTCTTGTACATGGCAACACTAGTTACACTAGCGCCCCCTAGTGTCGAGTAAATGAAAGTGTTGCGCGCCACTATTAATGTCTTGTACATGGCAACACTAGTTACACTAGCGCCCTCTAGTGTCGAGTAGCAGAACTAGGAGAGTCGAGATCCTTCCAGAAATTTCGGGACCGATATGTACTCGAACATTCTAGATGTCGCTACAGTAGAAGGTTCTGGAAACTATCTGCGGCCCTATATAAGGCCGGTATAGACCACGACCGGGGCAGTATTGAATTGGCGATACAAGAGAATAGAATTCGAAGCGAAATAACGGCGAACTGTGTTTTATTATTAGTGTGATTTTAGATTGTAATTAGTCTTGTGTAATTAAAGTGTCAATTTTGGTAATTCAATCGGCAGTTTTTAATTGTCTCGAACCCCAAGTCCGTAACAATTGGTGTCAGAAGTGGGATCAAATATGCCGATTTTACCTAAAGACGACACGGAGGGTATCCGTACCCGAAGTCAACGCCAACAGGAGACGGACCAGAGACGATTTGGTAATGCAACGCCGCAAACGTCGGAGGGCCAGTTGCTAACCACGGAGGCTGGCCCGTCAGCAGCTCCTGCATCTGCAGCACCTGACTTAGGTGCTCTGATGATGATGCTGCAGGATCAGGCTCGCCGACAGGAGGAACAGGCCCGCCGACAGGAGGAACAGGCCCGCCGACAGGAAGAACAGGCCCGCCGACAGGAGGAACAGGCCCGCCAACAGGAAGAACAGACCCGTCGGCTGGAAGAGCAGCTGCAGCGCGGTATGGAAGAACAGATGCTCCTCAGGAAGGACCTTCACGCTACCTTCGGGAAAGAGATAAAGGAGGTGAAGGATAGGGTTGCTCAACATGACAACCGCCTGTCGGAAGCTGAAACCCGAATCGACCAAGTGAACAATCGGGTTGACAACGTGATGGCTGATGTGAAGAAAACGCTGGACGACCTCAAACTTGGGGATGGAGTTACAGCTCCCGTGGTAGCTACAACACCTTCGCTACGTGGATTCAAAGTGCCACCGTTCGACGGGACTTCTTCCTGGTCGGCCTATAAAATCCAGTTCGAGGCTGTCATGAAAGCGAACGGCTGGAATAAAAGTCAGGCCATGACTGCTCTCACCCTAGGCCTGCGCGACCAGGCATTAACTGTTCTGGAAGCTCTCGGTAAGGAAGTGACTTACGAGCAGCTCCTTGAGGCATTGGAGGCGAGATATGGCGACGCTCACCTGGAACACGTCTTTCGTGCGCAGCTCAAAGATCGCGTGCAACGCAGTAACGAAAACCTGCAGCAGTGGGCCCTTGAGGTGGAGAAGCTGGTTCGAAAAGCGTACCAGTCTGTACCTGCGCTTATTGTAGGGAACCTGGTGCAGACATTCATCGACGGCATCCGCGACCTTGAAGTCAGAGCTGCTGTGAGGCTCGGGCACCACGAGACGCTTAAGGACGCCTTGACCCATGCACTAGAGGTGGAAGCCGTGCGGCAGGATCATCGTTCCCACCGCGTCAGGGAGGTTGCAGCAGCTAAAGTTCAGGACCGCAATAAAAGCTACAGCCCTAGGTGCTACGGCTGTGGAGAAAGGGGCCATCTTCGATCCAGCTGCCCTAAGCGAACTGTAAAAAGGGAAGGTGATCGATCTCGAGAGGGTAGTGCGGATAATAGCACCGCCCAGCAGCAGCAGGGAAACTGGCGGGTGCTGGCTGATGTTAAAAGAGCCCCAAGGATTTCGATCTCACAAACTCATGATGGGAACAGCCTAATCATCAAGGGCGAAGTCAACGGAACGCCATGTAAACTGACCATAGACACTGAAGCCTCTCGCACGGTTGTCAGTTCCCAACTTATAAGTCGGTTCCTTGGTGACTCCGCATACAACCGAGAACGCATTAATTTGGTGACAGCCACTGGTCAGCGCATACCCGTCCGTGGAGAGAAGGAGATGGAGTTGAAGCTAGGCAACATGATCTGCGAAGAAGTTGTTACTCAAGTACGCCAATGTTTTCTCGTCAAACGAAGCTGACATAGGAAAGACTGGCTTAGTTCAACACAAAATAAACACAGGACAAGAATTGCCTATTCGTCAGCGGCCAAGAAGATTGCCTGTAGCACGTGAAAAGGAAGTGGAAACCATGATTGAGGGAATGGTGAAGGATGGTGTTATTGAACCTTCATCTAGTCCATGGTGTTCACCTGTGGTGCTGGTAAAGAAGAAGGACGGCAGCATGCGGTTTTGTGTTGACTACCGCCGCCTGAACGACGTTACGAAGAAGGACAGCTATCCCTTGCCTAGAATTGATGACACGCTGGATATGCTCACAGGCGTAAAGTGGTTTAGTACGCTGGACCTGAAAAGTGGCTACTGGCAGGTTGAAATTGACCCTAAGGACAAGGAGAAAACTGCATTTTCCACAGGAAAGGGTCTGTGGCAATTTAAAGTCATGCCGTTTGGATTGTGCAATACTCCAGCAACGTTTGAAAGGTTGATGGAGCTTGTACTTACCGGGCTAATTGGAGATGCCTGTCTCGTCTATTTGGATGACATCATCATCGTAGGCCGTACGTTTGAGGAGCACCTTCAAAACCTGGAACGCGTGCTCATGAAGATCCAGAGTGCCAACCTCAAGTTGAGTCCAAAGAAGTGCTCACTATTCAAACGGCAAGTTAGTTTTTTGGGGTATGTAGTGTCGGAAGAAGGTATCCGCACGGATCCAGAGAAAATTGCTGCTGTCATGGAGTGGCCGGTCCCAAAAGACAAGACACAGGTTAGAGCATTTTTGGGTTTGTGCTCTTATCGGCGATTTGTGAAGAACTTTGCAGATATAGCCAAACCTCTGCACAAGCTAACCGAGGAGAAGCGACAATTCTGCTGGGATGAAAGTTGCGATATTGCATTCCAGGAGCTCAAGAACCGCCTGTGCAAAACGCCTATTTTGGGGTACCCTGATGCGGGCAAGGAATTCATAGTTGACACAGACGCAAGTGATATAGGACTTGGCGGTGTGTTGTCTCAACGGAATGGTGATCAAGAGATTGTGATAGCGTACTTCAGCAAGTCGTTGTCAAAGCCGGAAAGGAACTATTGTGTCACAAGACGGGAATTGCTTGCTGTGGTAAAGTCCTTGCAGCATTTTAGCAAATATCTTCTAGGGCGGAAATTCCACTTACGAACTGACCATGCTGCACTGAAATGGCTATTGCAGTTCAAAAATCCGGAAGGACAAGTTGCGAGATGGATAGAACTACTGCAGGAATACGACTTTGTGATCGAACATCGCAGCGGGAAATCTCATGGCAATGCAGATGCATTGTCAAGAAGACCTTGCCCTGAAGATTGCAAGCATTGTACTAGGCAAGAGGGTAAGGAA